GTCTGGTTGGTCACTAACCTCACCGCATTTGACTGCACCACACGAGAGATAATTGCACTTAATGAGTCCTAGCAAGCGATTTGAGATAGAAAGGTGGGGTTTGTTTGAGTAGCACTGTAAATGAATTATCTACAAACTGTTTTATGAGTAATCACATTAAAATAATTATTTCTATACGTACACTCCTCGTCATTGCATTAAGCGCGGGGTCGTGACGGACATAAACAACAAGATGAAATATTGAGAAAAAATTAATCTGAGAAGTTAACAAACTTCTAGTAGTCTGTAGGTCTCCCTTTTCTCTTGATACACTCCTGCAGGCATGAAGGAACTGACTCTGCCAAGTTGTGGATTATTTGTGGGTCTAAGTTATTCCACTCCTCACAAATGGCTGCCTCCAGCTTGGGGACGGTACTTATGTCCTTGCCTTGTAGACGACGCTTGATAATGCTCCACTTATTTTCTATCGGGTTAAGGTGAGGCAAATTACTTGGCCAATCACTTATGAAGTCTACCTGACAGTCAACAAGCCATTGTATTACTGATCATGAACACATGATTCATTCGTCCACACTTGGAATACTGCTCTCATATCTGGGGTGACTCTTCTTCTGTCCAACTATTAGATAGGGTGGAATCAAAGGCATTTCGTCTTATTAACTCTCCTCCTTTAGTCGACAATCTATCTCCCCTTTCTCTTCGCCGCAATGTTGCTTCACTCTCTCTCTTACAGGTACTTTAACGGGCAATGTTCAGTGGATTTGGCATCCTGTGTACCGCCGGCAAGGCCGTGGGTTCGTAACACACGTCTTGCCCACGGTGCCCACCATTTCTCTGTGGATGCCGGTCACACGAGAATAACCCGTTATAGTGTTATAGTACCTCCTTCTTTCCTCACACAGCCAAACTGTGGAATGCTCTGCCTTCTTCTGTGTTTCCATGCTCTTACAATCTGTCTTACTTTAATAAGCTGGTTTTCCGGCATCTTCGTGGTGTAGATTAATACAGTATAACCTTTTTTCTATATTTTCAATTTCTTTCCGTTCTCCCCAGGCAACGTTGTGGGTCGTTTGACCTGTGCCCGGGTGGGCTAATTCCCGTAAAAAAAATATATATATATATATATATCAGCGTGGCATTTTTCAAAAGACCCGGGCAAATAATCACAAAGCAGCTCCAAGCAGTTAAATTGGTTCATCATCACATTCCTAGGTAGCACAACATCACCAGTTCCAAAGTACGAGAAGCAACCCCACACCATTACTGATTCAGAATGTTTAACTTTGCTGAAAGTGAACTTGGGGTCAAGCGAATTACTCCCTGGGTGCTTGTACAATTTAAAAGTGTGACTCCCAGTCACGGAAAACGTTGCCTCGTCACTCCACAGCACGTGATGCCACTTGATCGTATCCAACTGAGCATTAGCTTTGGCTAAAGCAACCCTATACTGCCTCTGGACAAGGGTGAGGAGTGGCGTCTTGCGTGCTCGGTGGCTGCGAAACTGCAGGTCGTCATGGATGTGGTGGCGGTGACCGGCCCTTACAAAAACATCACCTAGAAGTACAAGGTTTTTTTCTTTCAATTCCCATGCTGACAGACGTGGATTGGCATCAGTTGCCTCTTAAAAACAGTTAACGTGCTTTGGGAAGTTTTTTGAGCCTTCCCTGGCTGTCTGTTGTGCACTGGTGTTGCTAACCCGCCGTCATCTCGAAATCGTTTAATCCAAATCTGAACTGATTGTTCACTCACACCAACAATTCTTGATATTTCCTTTACGGGTTTCTTGCCCTTATGCAGACTAATAATTGACGCTATCTTCTCCTTTGTTAAATTTTTCCTCTTGCCCATTATGGTAAAAAAAACAAAAGAAACAACGGGCATCGTGGCAATAAATAAGGTCAATGTCAATGGCAGTTGGTGAACGTTTTGATTGCTGGCTGACTTATCCTTGAGTCTCCCTTCGCTACCAGACGTACAATGCCTGCCTCAGCCCTAACTGGCTGGCGTGGAAGGGTGTGAGACACTTCAGCAAAGATCACTTCCCGTCGGCCACCTTGTGCATAATGCAATGGCGAGGAGTGTCAGTGCGTGCAGAACACAATTTTTTTTTTACATTTAATTAAAATGTTTATACAGTATATCATTTGAGGCGCTCCGTGTCAGAAGGGGATGAAGCACCAAATTAAAAAGCTGAGAAAAATGTGTTTAAAGTTTTTCGAAGTTCAAACAACCATAACTTTTTTGTTTGTTAAGCTAGAGGGTTTTTTTTTTTTTTATCTTGCAGCTCAATCCCTCTCCTGGCGAACTTTGAAAACTGGAAGTTAGGACTGTGAATAGTTATTGTTTTATCACGAGTTGAATGAGAATAACTACCCTTTATGTACAGTTGTTTGAGCTTCAAACCAGCAATAATCGCGTTTTTCTGCAATTTTTTTTTATTATTGTGGGCTAATACCGTAAAACAAGTTAATGGTCACCAAAAACAGCTCTCGTCTTACACCCACCCCCCATAACACCCCCCCAAAAAAATTAATGATAATTACAGTGGTCCCTCGGTTAACGAACACACTTCGTTCCACAGAATCGTTCGTTAACCGAATCCATTGTTTCAATGGGGTATTGGATAATTGATTCCAGCTCACAGAAAAGTACATACAATGGGGTATGCTATAACGAACGGATCCTACTACGAATATTCCTATAACGAACGGTTTTACCTATAAAATTGAGAATGCTATAACGAACGCAACTCCTACAACGAACGCGGATGAATACGGGACTATTTCGCCTGGCGCATGAATATTGTTGTACCGCGACCCACAACAAGAGCGTCAGGCGCCATCTTTGTCTCATTGTGTAGCCAGTGCACCACTGTTATTGTTGAAATTTCGTCTTTTGATGTGGAAATTCGCGTTATTTGTATAACTATTTTGTTATACAAGTATACAATTGTAACAATGAGTCGTCCAAAGCGAGTGAGATAGCTAATAACCCTTGAAACTAAGAAAGAAATTATAAAGAAACGTGAGAATGGAAGAAGCATTGCGAAACTTAGTGATGAATATGGGATGGCTAAATCGACTATATGTACGATTTTGAAGAATAAAGGGGAGTTAAAAACTGTGCAAGTGGCAAAGGGAATCTTTAGACTTAGCAAAGCAAAGTGTAATGTGATTGAAGAGATGGAAAATTTACTCTTAGTGTGGATAAAGGAGAAAGAAATGGCAGGTGGTAACATTAGTGAAGCTATAATTTGTGAGAAGGCCAGACAATTGTTTGAGGACCTTAAAGCCAAGACTCCCAGTGGAAGTGGTAGTGATGTGCCAGTGTTTAGGGGTACCTGCATGCTGAATAACACTAAGGTAAGATAAAGTGCCGTATTTTTTACATTTTCCACAGAATTTTTTCAGTGTTAGGTGGTTGTATATGGGGGCCTGGAACGGATTAATTCTATAACGAATGAATGCTATAACGAACGAGGTTCTGGAACCAATTACGTTCGTTATAGCATACCCCACTGTACAAAGTAACACAAAAAATGCAGTAAAGTACACTTACTTTGAGGTGTGTGTGTGTGTGTAGAAGGTTCCTGGTTGTTGATGATGATGATGGGAATTAGAAGTGGGGGTGGAGGAGAAGGGAGAAGAGAAGGAAGTGGGGATGGAGGAGAAATCACCTTTCAGGGGACCCATGCTTGATGCCATCATTTCACCAATAAAATTTTAAGTTCACTAGGCGTAATTCAAGATTATTTTATTTAAATCAACACTGCTCTGCGCTATGTATTATCAATATGTTAACTAAATTTCAGAATGACCAATAATTTTAATGTAAAAATGCAAAAAATATTCAAGACACCAACAAAATCGATATTTACTCTACTGTAAACAAAGCCAAACTGACGCCTGGTGGGTGATTCAAGCGGCTGATGGACGCACAAAAAACTAGTTCCATGTACTGCATATATTAGCAATATGTTAACTAAATTTTAATATAAAAAATGAAAAAATATTAAAGAGCACAACTTTCTTGATATTTACTCCACTGGAAATGAATGTAAACATAGAACAGATTACTGAACTGGCAGACTAGCCCATCAGCTGATCAGCTGATGCTCACAACAAAACGTGTTTGTCGTAAGGGTTTCGTTAACCGAATTAAAGATCCTTATGGGAGGTAATTCGTTAATCGAAATTTAGTTAATCAAACCATTCGTTAACGGAGGGACCACTGTATATATACGTACATATACACTAGAACACATAATTCACTACTGTAATGTGATTCAGGTGATTAATTTTTATCTCTTCTGCAAAGTATATGATGTATATATTCAAATTATTTGCTGTCTTGCAAGGATTCTAGCAATGCAAATTATATTCTCCTAACTTTAGTCTGTGATATTATATAAGATAAAAACGTTTAAGCCTAAAACCACCAAACCCTTGCTGAGAGGATGGCGGAGTCGGGAGATTGGAGGGAGGGGCAGGGGACGTAAGGTGTTTTGACAGCCGTCACCAAGGTTTACCCAGTGCGTATTTATTTATCTGTCATATAGAGGAGTTTAAGTTTATGTCTTATAAAATTTCACTGAACTAACCTGGGAAAATATAATTTTCATTGCTGGGATTCTTGTAAGATAGTGATTAATTTAAATATAAACATGCTATGGTTTGCACTAGACATAAAAAATTTAGTACCGTAATAATTTAGTACCGTAATAATTTAGTACATGTACAGTACAGGTTTGCACTTAGGTCATTTATTTCTTTTACTTTTTTTTTTAGGATAGTGTGTGCATGTAAATGATTAAAAATAAATCAAGAAATTTATGTAAATCTACTCAAAAATACAGTTGAAAAAGTTGTACATTACTAAAATATACTAAACTAATGTGCTAAAATTTTTATCTTGTGCAAAATATATGATCACGGTTAACACGTAATGCCGTCTGTGAGCAGCCCAGTAAACTATAATCCTTTTTCTCTTCTTTTTTATAGCCAATCCATTTGCTGGCATGTTTGTGGGTATGCCAGGCATGCCAATGCCAGTGGGCCTGCCCCCATTCCCATTTCCACCAGTACCAATGCAACAAGCTCAACAACAACAGGCTCCTACTACTTCCTCTACCACATCCACCACAACTGGCACAACTACAACTAGCTCTTCCTCAACTAGTTCTGGAACCACTGCACCAGCTGCAGCAACAGGTAATCTAGTTGTAATTACATTCATTATGCATCACACATGGAAATTATGAATTATTTTTAACACTGTATTGATGGATTGGATGATCTACAACAATCATGGTAAAGACACTTTAGAAAAAATATTATTTAATGAACTTTAAAAACACTTTTGAAGATCACATTTAATATTAATTAAGGTATTGTGATAGTGAAGGAAACTAAACTAAAATATGAAGTTTTATTCCAGACTTGTTTCCTTCACTACCACTCCACTATCTGTCCACTATGAACAGTATAAATATTAAGTGAACTGCATAAATGAAATTTATCTTTAGCAGTAAAAATTACTGTACAGTATTAAATAAAGTCCCTCAATGGTCCTGTATGTTTCATATGTAAATCAATAATAGTCATATAGTGCCTTACTTATGTTCAAAGGTGGCAGCACCAACCAGACTGGAAGCACTATGCCAGCAACACCATTCAACATGATGCCTCCATTTTTCCCACTTCTTCCATTCAGTGAGTATAGCAGATCTCATTATACAGTAGCTCTCTTGTCTATTAGTGCAAATATATATAATTGCAGATTATTCAAAAGTAATATCTCCTTTAGCCGGAATCCCTCAAACCCGGAACTCTCCGATAGCCTGAATTGAAATTTGCTTGGAAAAGCATTCCCAAAGCCGGAATTAAAAAAAAAATCCAACTTTGGGGCCAAATTTTCCGAGGTAGAAAATCGAGAGCATTTTCTGGAAATGTCTTGAATAAAGACAAAAGCTCGAGTATTTTTAAGAGGGACCAGACCTGACTCGATGTCAGGTGGAGGTAGGGTGTGGGATTAGTGGAATGTCAGGTCACCCTTTTTTGGGTGGGGGATTAGTGGGTCTCATGGCCTGAAGATGTCTTGAATAAACACAAAACTTTAAGTATTTTTAGGGTGATTGTGGTAAGTATAAATGAGCGAAGTTGTATCCCTTCAACATTATATTACATTACATTTTAAAATATGGAGTGAGAAAGCAGAAAGGTGTTGGTGATTAGAGAGATGGAGTGCAACATGCACCAGTGTTACCAAACGATTAACTCCTTAACAGTTGATCTTTTAATTCGCCTCCATGCAGTCACACAACAAGACCCTCACTGGATGCTTGTTGTCTTAATTCCCGTGTGTGTGTGTGTGTGTGTGTTTTTAGCTTGCCATGCACATTGTAGGATTTGAAGAAGTTGATGAAGAGTTTGTTCAGGAGTCAGGTGGTGAGGTGACATGCCAAGACACTTACAGAACACACACATTAACAGCACTACTAAACCATTGTTTTATAACATTTTACATTATAATTTCTATTTTAAAATTAATTGATACATGATGGCTTGACTGGGCAACAATTGCACTTAAACAACTGATCAGTGAATAAACCAGGGCATATGGAGATGTATTATAACTAGTGATGTCACAAAGCTTCGGAACTGCAACCACAATTTCTGAGCAACCACATAAATTATCACAACATGTACTCAAATGTACTTAGTTAATTACTAAAATTATTATGTCTGGTGCAAAATAAGGGATCTTTATACTTAAGTAAATTGCTATCTTACAAGAATTCCAGCAATGTAAGTTATATTCTCCTAAGTCAAGTTAGTGGCATTTTATAAGCAAATATATACAGTGGTCCCTCGGTTAACGAGCACAATTCGTTCCAGAAGGTTGCTCGTTAACCGAAAAACTCATTAACCAAAACCATTGCTTCAATGGGTTTTTGGGTAATTGGTTCCAGCTCACCGAAAATTGCCTAAAATCAACAAAGAAGGTAGTAAAGTACACTTACTTTGAGGTGTGTATGTAGAAGGCTCCTGGATGATGATGATGATGTGAATTAGAATGGGGGTGGAGGAGAAGGGAGAAGAGAAGGCATTGGGGTGGAAGAGAAGTCACCCCATGGTGCCATTTCACCCATAAAATTTTAGTTTTCTTGGTGTAATTCAAGATTATTTTCTTTAAATCAACATTGCACTGCATTATATATTGTCAATATGTAAAATAAATTTCAAATTGACCAATAATTTGCTTGGAAACACAGAAAAAAGCATTTAGTTGAAGAGAGTCTCAAGCAAGATGTTACCTCCACTGAAAAGACAGAGACTGACGCCTGTATGGTGTGTTGACTAGGGTTGCCATACGCCCGTATTTTCCCGGACATGTCCTCCATTTAGGTCTCGAAATCTTCGTCCACAAGTAATTTTTTAAATTCTTTAAAAGTCCAGAATTTCAGCTTCCATCATTTTCTCCACGGAAAAAAACAAAACATGAAACTGTAATGACGAGAGAGAGAGAGAGAGAGAGAGAGAGAGAGAGAGAGAGAGAGAGAGAGAGAGAGAGAGAGAGAGAGAGAGAGAGAGAGAGAGAGAGAGAGAGAGAGAGAGAGAGAGAGAGAGAGAGAGAGAGAGAGAGAGAGAGAGAGAGAGAGAGAGAGAGAGAGAGAGAGAGAGAGAGAGAGAGAGAGAGAGAGAGAGAGAGAGAGAGAGAGAGAGAGAGAGAGAGAGAGAGAGAGAGAGAGAGAGAGAGAGAGAGAGAGAGAGAGAGAGAGAGAGAGAGAGAGAGAGAGAGAGAGAGAGAGAGAGAGAGAGAGAGAGAGAGAGAGAGAGAGAGAGAGAGAGAGAGAGAGAGAGAGAGAGAGAGAGAGAGAGAGAGAGAGAGAGAGAGAGAGAGAGAGAGAGAGAGAGAGAGAGAGAGAGAGAGAGAGAGAGAGAGAGAGAGAGAGAGAGAGAGAGAGAGAGAGAGAGAGAGAGAGAGAGAGAGAGAGAGAGAGAGAGAGAGAGAGAGAGAGAGAGAGAGAGAGAGAGAGAGAGAGAGAGAGAGAGAGAGAGAGAGAGAGAGAGAGAGAGAGAGAGAGAGAGAGAGAGAGAGAGAGAGAGAGAGAGAGAGAGAGAGAGAGAGAGAGAGAGAGAGAGAGAGAGAGAGAGAGAGAGAGAGAGAGAGAGAGAGAGAGAGAGAGAGAGAGAGAGAGAGAGAGAGAGAGAGAGAGATCTCTCTCTCGCTCGTTCAGTTTTCGTCAGCTGATAAGTCACGTGTACACGCCTGTACAGTGTTGTCAACTTAGCTGCTAGCAATTTTTGGGCTAGCATGTAGTGCCATGTACTGCTTTTCCTTGTTCTTCAGCCACGAGCATTATTAAATTTGTTTTTGTATTTAGTGCTATTACAGCCATAAATGAAATGTTTAAAGTATACCATATTTTTCTTATGGCTTTTTTTACACTGCAGCATTTGTTTTTCTTGTCCTGCATTTTCAACCATAATCTTGATGTGCATGGGCCCATCAAGTCACACACACAGTGGGGGAAGAAGACTGCAGCTAAGGAATGAAGATATTCATCCTTAAGCAAATGTTGTATATTAGCCTACATTAAAAACACAATGCAATACAGTACACCGATACTGGTGTGTGTGTGTGTATATATATATATATATATATATATATATATATATATATATATATATATATATATATATATATATATATATATATATATATATATATATATATATATATATATATATATATATATACAGTCAACCCTCACATTACGCGGTCCCACATTCCGCGTTTCCACGTTAACGCGGTGCCCTGCCAGAACCTAACGTGCTCACATTACGCGGTGCGTGAACCCCATTACGCGGAGAGTGTCCGGCGCAACGCTATTTTTAGATTCGCCCCACCCGCCCGCCTGCCTGCCTGTGCTCCTCGCCTCTCCCTCCTCCTCCCTCCGCTTGGGCAAGCCGCGCGGTAAGGTTGCGCAGTGTGTGTCTTTGTTGCGTTATCACTGACGTCATATGACGTATCGGACTGTGATTGGCCATGCATCCCTACCCCCCTCTGCTGCTAGCTGTAATTGGCTTAAAGTATTATGACGTGTCCACCCGGGGGAGGGAGGGAGGGAGGGAGGAAAGACGACGCTTGACCTAGCCGCGGCAGTTTCATCCCTCAAGGCCACACCGTGTAATCGTGCATCCATTGTTCAGTAAAATGGCTTCCGCCGGACCACCACCCCCAGAGAGAAACCTTTCCTTACCTGGACCCAGCGGCACTAAGCCAAAGAAGACACGACATTCCTTAAGCTACGAGGTGAAGTATACCATCATCCAAGAGTTGGAGAAAGGAACAAGGCAGGTTGATTTGGCGCGCCAGCATGGTGTGAATGAATCTACGATTCAAACAATAAAGAAGGATGCAGCCAAGATAAAGGAGCACATGAAGATCACAAAGTCTACAGGTGCTTCTATGATCAAGTATTTTCACAACCAGGTGCTTCTCAAGACAGAAAAATTCCTTGTGAGGTACTTGGTGCGTCAGGCGCGACGGAACATGGCGGTCGACACGCGCTCTGTTAAGGACTACGCACGTGAACTGTATATGGCACTGGCACGAAAGATGGGAATTACAGAGCCCAAACCCTTTAATGCTTCCTCTGGGTGGTTACAGAGGTTTAAGATCCGGAACAAGATCACCAATATAAACATTGGTGGTGAAGAAGCGAGTGCTGACCGTACTGCGGCTAGGGAATTTCCTCCGTTTTTACGTGAGATTATGGAGGAAGGACAGTACCCCGACTTACGACTGGGCTAGGGACCCAAATCCAGGTCGTAAGTCCGACATAGATAAATTTTTTTTTAATAAAAAATCTACAATGAAATACAGTACAGCAAAAGTAATGAATAATGAGGAATGGATACAGTACAGTGAAAGTAATAAATAATAAGGAATGGATACAGTGTGACTGAGCACTTACCTTTAATGTAGTCAGCTGAATGCACATGGGGCCCCCATAATTTTCTAATTATACATGGAGACTACATTAACTGGAAACGTTTCAGTATAGAAAATGCGTGTCATTTGAAAAAAAAAAAAAAAAAATTTTTTGATAAAAAATCTGCGGCGGTCGTAAGTCCCGACGGTCGTAAGTCGTAGCAGTCGTAAGTCGGGGTCTAGCTGTATATATATATATATTAATGTTATGCAAATATGCAAAATTAATTGTCACGGCTGCTTCAAGGTTACATAGCGCCAAAGTGTGTGCCGGGGACAAGTCTTCTGGGCGCCCTCTTTTAATGTTGATATGGCAACCCTAGTGTTGACAGGCTATTTGGCGCGCAAAAAAAATAGCTTCCTATACTTCAATTATATTCAGTAATTGTTAAAATGACTAAAAAATTTAATATAAAACTTTTAAAATTATTGAATAGTACAAACTTCTTGATATTTACTAAAATAGTAAGGAATTTAAGCCCTAGATCCGATTACTGTATTGGCGGACTAATACTACAGCTGGTGGACCACCAAATGCAAGCGAAAACATGTGGAGGGGCGCTCGTTAAAAACTTGTTAATTGAGGGA